TTACGGTTCTCCTAAGCTTTCATCAAATACAATTGATGTCTTAGATGAAACATTGTCTCCTCAAAAATCTTTAAAACCTTATACAAAAGAGAAAAGGAGTATCAGTACAAAGATGAAGGAATTCAATTATGATAATTAATTTTTTGATAGGGTAGGTAATAAGATCAGATTATATCTTTAAAAGAATCATCTGAATTATGAAAAGATTCTCATAAAGCTCTATAAATTGGACTCTCTTAAAAGTGATAAAGCAAAAAGATTGTTAGTTTAAACAAAAAATTACAATATAGTGCTGCTCGTTAAATTAAATCTGTGATATCCATCTCTTTCTAAAGAAAGAAATAATTGTCTACCATCTTCAAAGCAAATGCAATCAGATCTTATTGAAATATAATAGGAATTTAAAAAAATCAATCCTGAAATAGAACCGAAGGTATTAATGAATATTTCTGTCTTTAAATTTAATCAGTCTAATATTGCTCGTTTAGAATAAGAAGAATGGAAACGAGTAGCTCTTGATATGTGAGATATAATATCGACATTTAATGATTGATTTTGAATTATATTATCCTTATAAAATTAGACCAAAAATCAGTTATTATTTGATACACAATATTAGATATCTAGTTTATGGAAATAGTTGAAGAATATATATAATTTTTTTTTAAGCTCCTCCATAACTTTAACTTTTTCGCTTAAATATTTATATTAACCTGAATTTTAATTTTTAATCAAGAATATCACATAACTAATTTTATATACTCAAATTATTTTCTTAATATTAGCATATAATGTTTTCTAATATGTCTTAATAAACCTGAGTTTAATGTAATGTTTTTAATTTATTGTGTATGTTTGTATCAATATTTTTAATTATTCTTCTAATTTTTGATATTTATTAAATATCATTATAGCATCATCAATAGTATTTTTTTAGATTAATCTTTTCAATATTTAAGAATCATTCTAGGGAGGAATTTTAAAATGATTAATATTAAATTGTTTTTAATCTTAAACCTTTTTGTTGTTAATGAATATATAGATATGATTAATACTTCACATCACTTTATTGGTTTTGATCCATTTTCCTAATTATTTATGAAAAGTATAAATACAATAATCTTTAAAAAGAAATTTAACAAATGGAATACCTTCATCATCAATTGTAAAATTTGCTTTAATGATTGGATCAAAACTTTATTTACCTTTCTTTTCATCTTCAATTTAATAATTATTTTTTATCCATCCATCCATTCATCTACATGTTACATAAGTGTTTTGATATCACTTTCATATGATATTTTTTTTAGTTTAAATTAATGACTTTAAATTCTCCAGTATTTTGAAGATATAATATGTGATTTTTAGGACTTAAACTATTGAACTTAAAAATGGTAAAATAAATGGTGCTTCTTATCGCACACCCATATCGTTTTCTATATATAGTAATGCTTAATCAGTATAAATAAGAATGAGATCATCATTATATTGAATAGTTTTAATTTAACCTTCAAAATAATCAATCCAGTTAGGTACATTATTTTCAATACATCTAATTAATGTTCCAAAACAGTTAATTGAATAGTTTTTATTATTATTTTTGAACTTCCAATAAAAGAGTTTTTGTATTCATTTAAATGAATAACTTTTAGGTAATATTTCATATTATTATATAAACAATAATGGCTATTATGTTATGACCTTTTTAATGTTTTGTTCGGATTAATTCATATCGAAAGGTATTAATTTCTTCTTTCCATCAATAATAACTGTTTAAATTAAATTCATGTTTATTTTGGAATTTCTCTTTTTTATATTTTAATATCAGGTATTTAATTTTTGAAATCAGCTTAAACATTTGTTTATTCAAATTACATGTCTGCAAATTTTAGAGTTTTAAGATCACCAAAAAGACTTTTTAATTATTCTTATCTTTCATTTTTACTTAAAATTTAACCTAAACTCATTTGAAAATCTATAATTATAATGTATTTTTTAGAAGTTGTCGCCATTTATACTGTTCCTTATTAATTTCATATTATATCTTCTATTAATTCTCCTGCTTTTTAATGTCTTTTTACCATTCATCCCCTTTTTATTAATTTACCATAAACTTATATTACCTTCATTGTCACCAATAGCAAATAAACTTGAATACTCATTATTGGTATTAGAATTTTTAAATAACATTGGTGAAAATCTAGCAACATTAATTGATGAAGATGGACCTAATATTGTTCTAACAACTTAAAAATTCGAATTCCTATCCGAAATTGCTACATTTGGTATTGTCTATTTATTTAATGAATTAATACTTTTTGATCTAGATTTGATTTAGCTAAATATCTACAATCTATAGTTTAATCTAATTTTCTGTCTTCTCTCTTTGTTGTAAATTCTTTCCCCTATATTTGGAAGGAAATAGTAAATTTTTATTACCAATTATCAATTTTATAAAATTTGACCTTATATATTATGTTTGAATACTGTGTTATCAAATTTTAATGAGAAAATATATTTATCAAAAGGATCCCAACATATTCCAACTATTTTCTAACCACAATCTATATTATGCTAAAACCATTTTATTTAATATGATAAATAAAGATGTTTCGATCTCATGAAGCAGTAGCAATTTTTTAATCATCTGGAGACCAAAATAAAGCAGTAATGTCTAATTTATGTCCTTAATAGGTTAGATAAATAGACAAATTGCAGCCATTGAAATACCAAACAATTAATTTATCATTACAAATTGCCAAATAAATTCTAGAAGAAAACCATTCCAATTAAGAAATCATTCTCTATTCCATTTAACTAATTTAAATAGAATTTAAATTAAATCTGAATCCACTTCATTTAATAACAACCAATTTTCTTTTCTCCACCAAGATATTCTTTTTAAATAAACTCAATTATTTCAATCTAGTTCTTGCTTCTATTATATAGTGCATTAGATTCTTACTGACATATAATTATTTATAATAAATCAATTTATTACTTTTTCTGATTTTTTTTCATCAATTATTACACTACTGAAGAATCGAAAAATCGATCAGCAAATGAATTCATTACTTAAAGCGATTACTATTACTTATTAAAGTGAGGATGATATACTAATAATGTT